TATAGAATGTTTATACTGTAGGTAAGCAACCGGCATATAATGCCTGATGGACTGCTGGCGAGTGGACGAACGAGGTGGGGCTCGGGATATGGATACCACTCGCAAATATTTCCGCAATCAGCTTTATGTTACAAATAGTTTTGTTAATTATGATTATGAAACAGATATGTTAAGGTTTGAATATTTTAATTAAGAAAGCAATTTCGTATTTTATGTTTATAATAAGACCTTTTAAAAAAAAAAATGTTCCGTAAATTTTAAGAAATTTCAGTAAGTACAAATTAAAAAGTTAGTTACAGTGGCGGCCTCAAAAGAGGGTCGCTACATATTATTTATACTTGTTAGAAAGTTTCTCGTAATTAAATTTTAAATTATTTTTATAAATGCTCCCCGATTTTTTAAAACACCTTCTTATATATAAAAATGAGATTGAATTACCCCTCCATCCAAATCCATCTATAATTGTAATGGATTTGCTTTTGTGGCAATCATTAAACGTCATTAAAGCCATTAAATTTTAGTTAAGCATATAAAAATGCTTAAGTATTTAAAAAAATACCAAAAAAAGAAAAAAAAAACGCTTTATTTCAAAAAAAAAAAAAAAAGAACATTAATGTTTTAACGATCCCAATTTCTAGAAAATTTTGAAGAACTTGTCCTTTGCTTTTTTGGATCACTCTCCTCAAAATCTCTCTCATTTCCGCTAAAAATATGTAGATCTTTTTATAGTAAATATTTCTCATCCTGAGTTGGTTTTTTTTCCCCCGAAGTCTGGGTTGTTCTTCGTTTAGTTTTTTTTTCCCTAAGATTTCGTGAAAATTTTGTATGACTTTTTCATGGATCAAGGTAGGTAAATTATCTAGAGACTTATTTGTGAAAATCTTAAAGTTCTTAATTTTTTATTATAGTTTTATGCAATATTATTGATTGCATCTTTAAGAATTGGTCCGCTAAGCATATTAAACTCTAGATCAAGGATTTGAATTCTTTGTAAAGAAGGTGGAATTAATAAAATCAATTCCAGCAGAGCAGGAAGTGTATTAAGTACCTGCATCACATCAAGTGCCTTATTCAGGCTGACAAAGCTCATCTCGAGGTGTTTCAAAGACGACAAGCCTCGAACCCACTGGAAATTGTCAGCAAATAATACCCCAGAGTAATATTGACTCAGATCAAGGATCTGCAAGCTAGTAAGGTTTCCAAGCTGAGCTGGAATTCTTCCTCCAAATCCTGTTCTGGAGAGATTAAGATATTTAAGATACTTTAAGGAACCAAAGAACTCGGGAATTGGGCTTTGGCAAAAGTAGTTTCCACTGAGATCCAAGTACTCCAAACGTTTTAACTCCACCAGACAAGAATCAATATAGGGGAAATATTCACCCCATTCGTATTCGTTGCTGGGTGAATCAGCAAGCTTGACAACACGTCCGGTAATTTGATTGCAACTGACGCCGTTCCACAGGCAGCAGTCATACCGGGTCCAAGAGCCTAACCGGTTAAAAGGATCATTGAAACTTTGTTTGAGCTGTAGCAGAGCTTCTCTCTCCCTTTTTATTCAGCCAAAGGTCGAATTTTTGCAGAAACATAATTGTAGTCCTCCAACGAACAGCAGAACAAGCAGAAAAAGTACAATACTCGAAGATTTCTCCATCTTTGAGCACAATTGCCTCTCAAATGCAAACAATATTCACTAGCTCTTTTTTTTTTTCCCCCCTGCTGAGGTCAATAGTCACTAACTCTTGCTAGCATAATAAGGTAGACGCCTGGTCAACTAAGAACGATTTGGTCTTCGAGCTTCAGTGCATGTCTGCGTCAGCGATTGGACAGATTTTAGTTAGAAGCGGCTACAAAGAAGGAAAGAACATTGACTAAGAAATAGCCCCTGCACTATGCCATTTTGATTTCTCTGTGTTTTTTTTTTTTTTTTTTTTTTTTTTTTTTCAAATTTTTTTTTTTTAATTTCCTTTGTTTTTTTGCAGAATTTTATATTGTAATTACCTTCTCATAGGTACAAAATAATTAGGCAGCATAATTCTCACTTTGAAGAGTCGTCGACGTTTGTGTAACATGTTTTGAAAGAATTCCATTGATGTCAAAAACACAAATGCTAATGTAACAGAGACTAAAGCTTATGAGGAGGCAATACTTTATCAAAACAACATCGACGCATGCATTAATATTTAAGTGATTTACCCTATAGAAACTATCAAAAACAACAAAATCTCCCGTGACAGTGGAAATAGAGAATCGAGCTAAACCAAAACTTTGATTCATAATTAGTATTCCTTCACTACTCTAGTTTAACTTCTGTCTTCATATAAATTGATATTTTTATGCAGAAAGATTCTTTTCTTATAAATGCATAGCTGATGATTTCAAGTTTGCTCGAAGAATTATCAGGACAATTACGCTCAGTTGGATTATCTCAGATACATATTATTTACCATACGTCCAAATCATATAGATATAGGTCCATTATTCCAGTCCCCGTTGGAGTTAAATTTCCTCCTAATGATTGAAAAGGATTAATTAATCATCTTTTTGACTCGTTCTTTGGAGCATGGCACTGAGAATTTCTAAACACTTGGCGAGAAGAGTTAGAAGTCGAAGTCGTTGCGGAAAAAGAATGATACATAGAATCTCCCTACTTTGAAAAGCTGTGGATTGCCGTAGTTGATGATTATTATATATTGGCCACTTGAGGACCACTTAAAAAAAAAAAATTATGAGTGGAGCCAACTTACATAATATTGGCCACTTGATGATTATTATATATTGGCCACTTGATGATTATTATTATAATATAATATGTCTTTTCCAACACCTAAAAAAATTATGAGTGGAGCCACTTGAGGACCAGGGATGGCCGCTGCCCCCCTCGGCCCAAGTGGCTCTTTTATACTTATGGCCCTAAAAATATTTTCTCCCCCCCTAAAATTTTATAATTACAGTTTTTGCATATGCTTTTAAAATATTTTCCGTTATCATCCAAATTCAATTCTTTCTAGGGACCCAAATTTTAATTTTATTAATATCATATTTATAAAACTTTTTAAAATAATGCATAAATTCTGACTTTTAAGTACTAATAATTCATACTTAAATATCCAAATAAAAGCAAAAATTAACTATACTATCATTTCAATTCATAATTTTGTTGGCCTTTGTTGACTTCAAACTTTACAAAGTGATGAAATTCTATTAAGAGTTTCAAACCATTTGTAGAAGAAATAAAAGGAAAAATAAAAATATAGTTACACCATTATTTTCGTTCAAAATTTTAGTCTACCTCACGCCTCACCCCCGAAGCAATTGGTGTTTGGTGAATTCATGGACGTATAGTATGGTATGGACTTGAATTTCACATTTTCACTCCAACAAGTTGCCACTAATGCGAAAGCTATTCATTGGAAGTATCCTTGTAAGGATCAAGTGCTATGGAATTCACGGAATCTATATAAGTATTCAAATTGTCGACAAGTTTTATGGGTAAATTGACACATTAAACTTTTCTGACAACTAGATGCAGAGTTTTGAATTTTCTAATAGATATTTATTTTTATATGGCAAGTCTTGTAATAAGTGCCTATGTAGAAAGACTTGTGATTTTTCTAAGACTTGGTATTTTTCTAAGACTAGTGATTTTTCTCACTGAGTCATCTTATGACAAATTGCTGACTTTTTCTAATAGGTACTTTTACATGAAGAGTTCTAAATTTTTGAAGAGCTGTGACCTATAAGAAAGAAATTTTCACCCCATTCGTATTCGTTGATGGGTGAATCAGCAGGTGCTCGGAGATCAAGCTTGACAACACGTCCGGTAATTTGATTGCAACTGACGCCGTTCCACAGGAAGCAGTCATTCCCGGTCCAAGAGACTAACCGGTTTGAAGGATAATTGAAACTTTGTTTGAGCTGTAGCAGAGCTTCTCTCTCCCTTTTTATGCAGCCAAAGGTCGAATTTTTGCAGAAACATAATTGTAGTCCTCCAATGAACAGCAGAACAAGCAGAAAAAGTACAATACCCGAAGATTTCGCCATCTTTGAGCACAATTGCCTCTCAAATGCAAACAATAGCTACTTACTCTGCTAGCACTATAAGGTAGACGCCTGGTCAACTAAGACGATTTGGTCTTGGTGCTTCGGTCCATGTCTCTGTCAGCGGTTGGAAAAATTCGTGTTGGAAGATGCTACGGAGAAGGGAATTTTAGTAATAATACGCTATTTTCAAAAGAAGAGTGCCAATTTTGTCATCTGAATATTCCAATCCGTGAAAACTCAAGATTGTTTCAAGAATAACTCAGTTCATGTATAGATTGTTTCAAGAATAACTCAGTTCATGTAATCTCTTGATGATGATTAGTTTGGTCTCTGACAACTGAGGTACATATCTGCAAGATTATAACTCAGAAAAGGGCATTAGAAGAAGATGGAAAGAATGAGGGAAACCATGCAGAGGTTTCAGAGCCATTTGACGACCGCGTGGGAGCAGTTGAGTCATTTCAGAGACGCGATCTGGTGGCCATTTCTCAAGTCCTCGGCGTCGTCTCCGGTCGTCTTCGTCGTCTTGTTCTTGCTCTTCGTCGGCGCGATTGTCTCCACGCGCTTTCTCAACTTTGTTGTAAGTTTTTTTAAATTCTTTTTTACTTTTCATTGCGTCATTTCCTGGGTTTGCGACTTGCGTGTTTGATGGAAACAAAAAGAAAGTCAAAAATTAACAACGGCGTGAGAAAATATCCGTGAGAGAGCCAAAAATTTCGTGCTTTTCAGAACGAAGGAGTCCTTAGTCGCCACGTGTTATTGTCAAGGTCATCCTGTTTCTTTTTTAATTTTTTTTATCTTCTTTTAATAATTATTATCTCTTGTTGATAACACAGAGGCACAGACCAATAATATATCATCTCTAATGCCAGTTTGCTTTTTGACTTTTTCCTTTTCGACAACATGCCTCTCTGTCAGCCTCGTGAAAGAGAGAAAGAAAGCAACTCCCATGCTTAATTTAGACTAGAATTCGTTATTTTCATTTTTATATCGAGTATTTTTCATCTACTGGAAGTAAACTTATTGTATTTTTAACATATAAAAATACAGCAGTACAAATAATTGCCAGAAATTATTGTGTTCTTTCCGTGATTAAATTAAGGAAACCGCGTCAATGGCACTTGCAACATTTTTTTTTTTTTTGTCATTAAATTAAGCAAACCACATGTATAGCACTAACAACATTTTTTTATTTCCAAGAATCTATTGTCCCAGCTAGTAAGGATTCGCTAATCTGTCCGTATAAGATTTTAATTCCCTACAACATGGAGTAGTATAAACTGTTGACTCTTCTTCCACTTATGTGCTTCGTGTCAGAATCTAGCTGGCCCAACTATCCCCAAAATCTCCGAAAGTCCCCCTCAAAAGGTTGAGATCCCACTGAACTGCACTGCATACGAGGCTACACGAACCCGCCCCTCAAATTATACCACTGCCCACAACATACAAGATGATCCCGACCGTCCATTGCCTCCCACGTGTCCAGACTACTTCCGATGGATTTACGAAGACCTGAGACCATGGGCTCACACAGGAATATCGAGGGATACGGTGGAGAGGGCCAAACCTACAGCCGATTTTAGACTTGTTATAGTGAATGGCAAGGCGTACGTGGAGACCTATCGAAGGTCTTTCCAGACGAGAGACGTTTTTACGCTATGGGGGATCCTACAGTTGTTACAGAGGTACCCAGGAAGAGTGCCTGATCTGGATCTGATGTTTAATTGTGGTGACCTACCACTTATTTTGTCAAAAGCTTACAGAAAGGCCAATGCCAAGTCACCGCCGCCGTTGTTTCATTACTGTGCAAATGATAACACACTTGATATTGTCTTTCCTGATTGGTCGTTTTGGGGGTGGTACGTATTCTGAAGTCTAAACTCATGCCCTTTTCTTTTTTTTTTTTTTGCCTTCCCCACTCAAAATTATTTTTTTCTCCATTTTCATCCACCAATAACAGGCTGCATAATGTTCAACAAAGGGATGCACTTTTGAATGATGTTCACTAATATATACTTTTTAAAAGTGTTGAATTGATGTGGTTGAAGACTTCTGGTATTGTTCATATCTAGTTCTAATATTGAGCCGTAGTATTTCAATCTTTAATTCACCAGTAAACCAAAAGATAGGCTCATGATATACTCATTGCACTAACATCCAACATTTAATAATGCTAAAATCGAAAAATAAATAAATGCTGAGCTGATTTTTCTCTTTAATACTGAAGTTTAAGAAAATCACATTCAATACTTATTAAGTCTAAGATTTTTCAAGTTTTGTGATCAATTAAGAGCATCAGCAATGATAAATTCATCATGATGAGTAACATTTAATACCTTTCTACCTATATTCCACACAAAACCTTATCCTTTGAGTTTAAAAGAAATGCAAAAAGAATCTTTTCCAAGGAAAAAAATTTTGTTTATTAGTTATTTTGACAAACAGTAGAAATGACATGTATGGTGGAATGTGTATAGGCCAGAGGTAAACATAAAGCCATGGGAGCCATTGTTGAAGGAGTTGGAAGAAGGAAACAAGAAAAGCAAATGGGTGGATAGACAACCTTATGCCTACTGGAAGGGAAACCCAGATGTTTCTCGCAGCAGGCGA